GCTGGGACTAAAGGTGTGTGGTACCACGCTCAGCTGTTTTAACCACTTTTAAAGTACAGTTCAGTGGTATTAGCATTCAGTGTGTTGTGCAGCCTTGACTAGAGCCTTTTTAAGAATCCATTTCATTACCCCTAACATAAATTCTCTGTTTTAAATCCTCTGTCTGTCTTCTACTCATGGTAACCACTATAATTAGCCAAGAAAAAGTTTTCCCTGAATGGATTTTGTTTAATTGGTTGAGCATTCTGGTAGGCAAGTGGGGAGGGAGGGACTTGAATTACTTTGAGTTTTGCTGGAAAATATGCCAATTTTAGCCTCTTGGGGTCCTGAATATTGCTGATAGACTTTTCTTTTTGTTTCCTAGGATTTGGATGTTGTGGGTGATGGTATGCAGTGTCCTCCATCACCCTTGCTTTTTGATCCTTCACTAACCCTGGAAGATCATACAGTCAAAGAAATTGCTGAAGGCTCAGTGGGTATCTTGGCAAATGATTCCCAATTAGGCTTCCCTCATACAGTGACCTGACCTGTATAGGCTGAGGGTTCCCTGCTGGCCAGCATGAATTCCTGGGAGTTGGGGGGGGTATACACAATTGGAGCATCAAAGTGTCCCAGATAGATGTGGTTTCTCTCATTGAATACCATATAGGGAAAACACTTTAAAAAGTTGGGCTGGAAATGTAGCTCAGTGGTAGACTGCATTCTTCCAATGTACAAGGTCCTGGATTTAATCCATTAATCCATATCACTGCCACCCCCCCCCCCAAAAAAAAAAGGTTTTTTTTTTTTTTTCTTTTACTCCTGAATGACTGACTTGCTCCAGTTCTCCCCATGGGCCTTGGGACCCAGTGGGTCCTAATCCTCAAATTAGAGTAGGACAATTTATTTGAATGAATGAAAGGTTAATAGGTAAATTGTTCCTTTTTAGGGAGAGTTCTATCATTGTGATTGTTCTTATTGTTGATTAAGGACCAGGCTTCTTTCTCTGAAGTAGGATATTAATGGCCCTGACTGAAGACCAGCAGTTACACTATAGCTGTTGGTTTCAAACAGAGGCCTAAAGAACTGTCTTCCTGTGGTTTATCGGCTATTCTGGAAACTCCGTAGAGAATGACTGTTTCATTTGGAAGAAACAACCCACAATCTCTCTTGTTGACAGAGCCATAGTAATGACTTCTGATTCTCAGGGACAGCTGAATATTGGGAAGAACAGCCACCCAGTTGTTTAAATTCTCTTGTTCTTATAGCTGTTGTTAATGGACATGAGAGAGTCACAGGAATGAGTTTCTAACCAAGGTACCTATATTTCTTTTTATAGGGCCAGTTGCAGATGGCTGGAGATGGTTCCAGATCCCAGGGACCTCGAAATTCAGAGAAAGCCTGTGGCCCATTCTCTCAAAGTGGATGGGCTACTGCAAATGGGAAACCAGAGCCCACATCTGTCAGTTGACAGTTCCTTCTGGGAACTGTTTGACTTTGGTGGATTTAAACTTCCAGTACTTCAAACAAGTATAATCTGATCATTTCTCACTAAGCAGGGACAACCCACCACCCAGATCACGTTGTTTTTCTACTGGGTTATAGAGTGCTATTGACAAACATAAAACTAAATTTACATGGAATGGACTTTTAGTGTCCAAAAGTTATGGGATTCTTTACGAGATAGAGTGAGGTAATCCCTGCCTCTGGGATTGCATGAATATTTGAGACTATGCCTGGGAAAGAGACATCTTTGTAACGGAATTTCCTAAGTCACGGGCAGAAATCCACATAGATGATTAGGTGGAGACTGTTTAAGAATGGTGCTCTTGAGATGTTGGTTGCCCCAGTGTCTGTTATCTATATATAAAGGCTTGCATTTTAGCCTCTCCCTAGTGCCATGTAATTGGGCAATCTCGACCCCTTTTCCTAGAGAACTATGACTGAGAAAAGCTCACAGGTCTGGGCTCTCCTTAACCATCCATCTTGCTTTTAACTTATGTAAATTTCTGTGGTGGCTGTCTTATGTAAAATATAGTAAAATTATTGTATATAGTTTCTATTAAATGTTAAAATGTTATAAAAATGTAGTCTGAATTGAATGCATGTTTTCTTTGTATTGGAGAGAGTCTGTCATTTTCTGGGATTTAGAGAGTTATTTATGATGGGAAAGAGGAAATTGGACAGGTAGATACTATTTTTGTCTGAGGAATTCAGTTTTTAGTAGTTTGTTTTGGAGGATAGTGTAATATCCTAGAAGTAGTAAATGAAGAGGATGGGGTTTCCTTATTAAATCCAGCCGGTTTCAAATGCCTTCCTGCTTTTTCTGTGTGCTAGGGCACATGCTGGGCAAGCACTGCACCGCAGTTCCTCTCCTGGTCATGTGTTCCTTTCATCTTCCTCTCCGGTTCTCCAGCTCCCACTCCTGTCAGTATTAACATAATGTATTATTAATAGGATTTTTTGTTCTGTTTCTGTTTTGTTTATTGAGACAAGACCTGATATAGCCCAGGCCAGCTGACCTTAAACCTGGAAATGCCATTGTTTCTAGACCTTGTTTCAGTGAATGGAGAACGCTCAATGCCTAGTTTATATGGTGATACTTAAGAGTCGTGGTTAGGATTTACCTTAACTCTCCTGTCTTACATCTGTACATCATTTTTCTTAATTGCTGATCATCTCTATTCTCAAAGATGACAAAATTAAGATTAGACTATAACCTAATTGCTCATTGTTTCATTAAATCTTATAACAGTTTGGAATAAAAGTATTAGCACTATTGCCAGAATAAGATTAGTAAAAAGTTTTTTAAAAAGTATTTCTGTTAAAGTTTTGAGTTTCATATAATGTATTTTGAACATTTTTCAGACCTGTTCCCCTATCTGCATCCCCACTTATGACCTATAAGAAAATACTTTTCCAGTAGCCAGTTTCTTGGCTAAAAGTCAAAATGTCCTTGGGCCTCTTAGCAACATACTCTGTTCCAAAGGCCAAAAATGTCAAAAATATTTAGGAGCTTTTATCTAATCCTTAAAAGATTTTAGGGTTACCTCTTCAGAGAGGGGAATGTTAGAGTAGCCAAAAGCCATATTTAAAAAAAAAGAAGAAAGAGTACATCAAGTTATCAGAAACAAGTCATGGGGAGATATGGGAGGAGATGGAGGGGAGGGAGTGCACATGGATTTGATCAAAACATATGTATGTATGAAATTCTCAAATTATTAAAAAAAATACTTTTTCTTTCCCAGCAGCTATCAGTTTTAAATAGTTCCTCAGCTTGGGCTGGGTTTATCCTCCGCCCACCCCTATGCTGGGAATTTGTCTGGCTTGAGCTTAGGTAGGTCTTGAGGATGCTGTGAACTCATGAGTGCCCTACTATCTGGAAAACAATTTGCTTTTTGTAGTCATCTACCATGTCTGGTTCTTAATGCCCCACTTCTGCAATGCTCCCTGAACCTTGGGAGGCAACGGTTTAACATCCGTGTCCCATTCAGGGCTAAGCACTTCACAGTCTCTTATTCTCTGCATGTTGACTAGTTGTGGGTCTCTGTCAATTGCCATCTGCTGCAAGAAGGTGGTTCTCTGGTGAGAGCTGAGAGATGCACTAATCTTTGGTTTTAATACTATATCCATTCAGCAGGATAATAGTAGGTTCTTCCCTGTGGTCTGTGACTTGTCTAGCCACAGGTGCCTAGGCCTGATATCTGTGTCAGGAATGGACTCCATTTTATGAAACAGGCCTTAGATCCAATCATAGTGATTGTTGCTCCCATAAAATCTGTGCCACTATTGTACCAGTAGACATATTCTGCCAGGCTATTTCTTGTAGCTCGTAGCGTTCACAGCTGAGCAAGGTTGATAATTATTTTTCTCTTCCAGTAGCATGTGTAGCAACTTCGAGCACTGTGAAAGCTAGGCAGTAGAGTTGAAGCTTTCAGGTCAGTACCAGATTGATTTCTTCTTGTTGGTTCTGCAACTTAGGTGTGCAGTGTCTTCAGCAATAGAGTCTTACTGTCAAGTTCTGGTGGGTAACCAAGAGCAAGGGCCAATGTTTTTTGAGGAATTGTGGGACCCCTGGTCAACAACTTCAAAAGAGGGAGTCCATTCCTGGCATTAAGCTTTTTATTTGCCAACCTATGGTTGCCCGGTAGGGGCATTGTCCCCCTGTATAGTGGTAGGCTTCCATATGACTTTGAAAACTTTTTTATTTTTTCAGATTGCTATTAGTGTAGAACCCCATGCAAATAGTAAAAATCACTTAAAATTACTTTGGAATAGTTCCTTTCTATGTGTTTATTATTACCAAATGAATAAATGTTTAGGCACATTTAAATTATCTAGAGGCTGCTTAAGAATTATTTTGGTTCTATTGTAGAAAGTTCAGCCAACATTAGTCAAAAGGTTAAAAACATCACCTGGATAGACACATGGCCCCACCTCTTCTATTCCATGTAAGGAGGTCCTAGAGTAGGATTAAATGAAGCTCACTTAAAATGTTGAAAAGTTAAATTTTTGTCCCAGCCATGTGGGCGTGGTGGCGCACGCCTTTTGGGAGGCAGAGGCAGGCGGATCTCTACGAGTTCAAGGCCAGCCTGGTCTACATAGTTCCAGGACAGCTGGGGCTACAGGGAGACCCTGTCTCAAAAGACCAAAAAAAACATATTTTTTTTTTGTCCTGATGATTGCTGTGCTCTCAGAGAAGTGCAATATAGAACTTAGGGTTTATAAAAGAATAAAACTGCGAAGGTGGCAACTAATGACCTCGCTTTATATTTCATGTTGCCCCTAATTTTCAGGGTTTACAAAAATTAAACCCACTACTTCAGGATTGATAGAACTGTTTTTTTGGTGTTGAACCACTGAGGCCGAAGGCCAAACCCAAGGAAGTCACAAGGACTAAGAGGATAAGCCAGTAATTGGGTCTGGCCCTCCACAGCCAATCAGGACTTAGGGTCCCTGTAACTTTTAAAGGGTAGCTTTTTCTGTTTACAGAGTAACTGTAATAGGTAAGCCATTTTTCCTCTTAGATTTGAAGACCCCAAAAGTCTTCCAAACTACATCTGGCAAAGAGGGAAGTCACTGGGAGGGGAATGTCCCCAAGCTAGATACCACATCTGGTAGAGGGAGAAAGCTGAGAGAACCAAGGAGTTCTCATCAGGCCTAAAAATCACCCTCAGGAGCCTGGACTGAGCTTAATAATGGGAGGGAAAAGATCAGTTTTTAGCCACTTAGCCAGCTCTACTTGTTTTCTGTAATAAACTTTCACTTAAAAAAAATTAGTTACCAGGTGTCTGGAAAAATGGCTCTGCTGTTAAGAGCACTTGCTCTTCCAGGGCATCTGGTTTGGGTTCCTAGCACACAATGCAGTGGCTCATAGTGGACTGTGATTCTAGTTCCAGGGGATCCAATGCCCTCTTCTGGCCTCAGGGTACCCATGCATGTGACTCATATACATAAAAAATTTAAATAAAGTTAAAAATAGTTATCAAAACATTATCTTGGGCTGTGGATAAGGCTTAGTGGTAATGTGCTTGCTTAGCATGTGCCAGACTGATTCCTACATTACCAAGAAAAGTTGGTTGTCTTACATAAAATGTGACATAGTCCTAAAGTCAAAAACAAAACAGCATATTCAAAGAAGTACAGTTTCTATTAGACTATTGCCCTCATCCTGTAAGTATTGTATAAAATTTGTGAGTTACTCCTATTTTATTTTTGTGTACATGTGGATGTTCATGGTGCAGGTGTGCATGCACATGTATGCATGTGGAGGCCCGAGGACACCTTGCAGTGTTCCTCAGTAGCTAGCTGATTTTTGAGACGTGATCTCTCACTGGCCTGGGGCTTTGCAGTGGGATCCTCTTGCCTCTACTCCCCAGTACTGAGATTGCAGGTTGGTATTACCACTCCCAGTTTTACTTATTTTTTTTGATACAGGGTTTTACTGTGTGCCCCTGGCTGGCCTGGAACTCACTTTGTAGATGAGACTGGCCTCCCAAGCATTGGGATTAAAGACATCATGCTAGGCCCACCCAGCTATTTTACTTGAGTTCGGGTATTAACTCAGGTCTTGATCTTGCAAGGTAAGCACTTCACTGACTTGAACTATCTCCGTAGCCCATATTTTATATTTTTATTTTATGTATATTGCTTGTGTGTAGGTGGGTACACCCATGTTGTGCAATGCCCACGGAGGTCAGAAGAGGGCATTGGATCTCCTGGAACTGGAGTTATGGATGATAGCAATGTGGGTGCTGGGAATTGAACCTGGGTCCTCTGCAAGAACAGTCAGTGCTCTTAACCACTGAGCCATTTCTCCAGCAACCCCAGCCCATGTTTTAAAAGTGTAAGTGTAAACATTTGTTGTGTGTATGAGTTTGTGTGGTGTACACATTTTTGCCATGTGGTATTGGATGGTGTACCTCCTTGATACAGTGGTGGTTGCATGCATGCTCCCTGTGATGGGTAAAATAGGACATGCAATCAAAGCCGGAGTCAGGTTGTTTGAGAGTGATGCATTCTTGAGTGGAATCCCAGGTTGGCCAGATTCCTCTACTCTATATGGGATGGTATGCCTCCTTGATGAATGGGATCCATCACGTAACTACAGGGATGCCTCCCAAGTGGCTAATGAACTTGAGAGTATGTTGCAATCCGTACAAGTAACGTGTGGGGGCTGGAAATACAGCTTAGTGATAGAGCCCTAACCTAGTATGCGTGAGGCCTTAAATTAATCCAGCACCACTAAAGTCAAACCCAGCCAAACAAGTAATGTGGGATGAGTGTGAGCAGGCTGTGGCAGCCTTTGTTGTGGGCTGGGCTATAAGACATGGAACTGGGGCTGAACTGCCTGCTCAGAAAAAGCTCGCTAGTGTAATGGAGGAGCTGTGATGGGAAGAAGACAAGTAGATTCTTCTACCTTTGCTCTCTGATTTGGTGGAAAAAAAGGATGAAATGGAAATGTTGGCTTGCCATTTCTTTTATCTGGCAGGATGCAAAGGTGGGCCTTCAGAAACCCTGCCCACTCTTTGTAAAAAAGTTTCATTATATAATACCCTTGAGTGTCTTACAGATTTATAAAAGCATCTGGGGGAACA